AGCAAATCGCTAGAGCGCTCAATACCGACTAACTAGTTAGGAAATACGCGTAAAAAGTAAATGTGAAGAATTTTTGAAGAAAAACAATCTGGAAAAATTGAGTAATAATCGAAAACATCGGATGTTTAATGATCTCACTACTTTATGAAGCTAGAGCTCACTAAGAGAAACGTCAAATGTGAGCAAACTAGACCTCGATTCGACTAATAGTTTAGGTAAATAACGCGTAAAATAAAATTAAAGAATTTTCAGAACAAAAACCTGAAAAAATTAAGAAGAAATGCGAAAATCATTGGATGTTTATGAAATTACGGTAATGTCAGGGTGCATGAGGCTCACTAACGATAAACTCCAGTGGAGCAACTAGACTCATCCGACTAATAGGTTTAGGTGAAATGAAGCGTAAAATTAAAAATTGTAAGAAATTTTCAGAAAAAATGCTGAGGGCCAAATGAGAGTAAAAATCGAAAATCGATGTTAACGAAATTCACTGATGTAGTAGAGCCTCACTAACCGAGAATCTGCAATGATGCAACCTATAGACTCAATCCGATAATAGTTTAGGAAATACGCGGAACAAAAAATTGAAGAATTTTCAGAAAAAATCTGAAAAATTGAGAATAAATCGAAAATCATCGATGTTATATGTGAGATCACGCTATGCTTAGGAGTTAGAGCTCATAAGAGAACTCAATGACGGCAAACATGAACTCAATCTGAACTAATAGTTTAGGAAATACGCCGTAAAATAACAATTGAAGAATTTTCAGAAAAAAACTGAAAAAGTTGACAAAAATCGAAATCATCGGATGTTTATGAAATCACGTATGTAGGTAGAGCTCACTACGAGAAACTCAATGGAGGCAAACTAGACCGTCAATCCGACTCAAATAGTTTTTAAGGAATACGCCGTAAAATAAAATTGAATATTTTCAGAAAAAAAAACTGAAAAAGTTAAGAAAATCAAAATTAATCATATGTTTTGAATGAGGTATGTAGGTAGAGCTCAACCACGAGAAACTCAATGGAGGAAACACTACGCACCTCAATCCGACTAAATAGTTTGGAAATGTAACGCGTAACATCAAAATCTGAAACGGATTTTCGAAAATCTGAAATAAGTTCGAGAAAATGCGGAAAATCTCATCGGATTGTGAAACCGAAACTCACTTTATGTAGGTAGAGCTCATTACGGAGGAACTAACTCGGAGGCAAACCTAGAGATCCCCGACTATTGACAGTTTTGGAAATCACGCGTAACATAAATTGAACGAATTTTCGGAAAAAAACTGTAAAATTGAGAGAAATCGAAGATCATCCGGTATGTTAGTGTATTCTAACGTATGTAGGTCAAGAGCTATACTACGATAAATCTCATATGGACGGCAACTACTATGACTACTAACCTTCCGATCATAGTTTAGGCTCAATATCGCGTAAAATAAAATTGAAGAATTTTTAGAAAAAATCTGAAACAAAGTTGAGAAACATCGAATAATAATCGGATGTTATGAATATCACGTATGCTAGGGGTACAAGCTTCTACTACGATAAACTCAATGGAGGGCAAAGTAAAAGACCTCAACTCCGTTTAAGGAACAATACTCGCGTAAGAATAAACTTGGAAGAATTTTTCAGGAAAAGAATCTTAAAAATTTAAGAGAAAAATCTGAAAGGAGCATGGATGTTGGAGCAGATCCAGGTATGCTAGCGGTAAGTACGGACTTCACCCGAGAAACTGCCAAATGGAGCAAACTATGACCTCAAATCCGGACTCATATAGTTGTA